ACACCCCCCAAATCTGAAGCTGTAAGAATACAAACCCTACGAGTAATAACTCACTTTCAAATACTACAAAAGCTGTATCACAGATCATTACGGTATTCAGAAAGCTCTACTTATTCATCACATTTACTGATCCAGATTATCTTTCAGCATAGATATGTGCAGCCCTGTTGATTTTCAGTGGCAGATGCAACCCTGATTTGAAGGGCAGAAAAGATGAATTAACCAACCATCTGAATGCACCACATGACCAGAGAAGCATGAGCTGTACGAGGCAGTGCTAATGAGATGAATACAGAGGGAAGGAATAAATCCGTAACTCATTTCAATAGTACTTTGCCAGCTAAAAGTGATGGAGAACCTTCCCCTTTCGCAGTCAGTAAAGCAGCAAAGGCTTTTGCTGAAGTACAGGGTTAAATACAACATACATGATTTCTTTTCTGAGATTCAGTAATGGCTTCTCTTGGTTCATGCCCTGTCTGTTATTTGAGCAAGCCTGCCAACTTGGCTAGCCACAATTTTTCCTATCTTCTCCAAGAGGGCTTAAATCATCTGTAAGTGAGGACCATGGTGGAATGTATGTGGACCATGGTGGAATGTATGTTGGTATGTGAGAAAGAACAGGAATGCTTGAGATATGAGAAACAAGTGTAAGGAAAGTGTAAACAGCCAGGTTCAGGACTGCAAGCCACAGTGGAATTTCCAAGTTTGCATTTTAATGCATAAATAAGGCTTATTTGAATTGCCAAAAGTTCTTATTCAAAATAAATAAGTAACAAAGAAATAAAAATAACCTGTGCTAGAAATCTCATAAGACAGGCTTGGGAGATTTCAGGCAGTTTCCATTCCAGCCCTAGCCAGAAATAAGAGGTGAAAAAAACACCAGAATATTTCAGAACCACAAAAATGTTTGATTTAATGTCACTCTAAAAGGAGCTGAAAGTTCAGTTTGTTTTTTTTTTTAATTCATAGAATCATACAATCATAGAATGGTTAGGGTTGGAAATAACCAATGACCTTAAGATTTTCTAGTTCCAACCCCCCTGCCATGGGCAGGGACATCTCACACTAGACCATGTTGCCAAAGGCTCTGTCTAATTAATAAAACAAAACTTGAGCTGCCTGTCTCCTTCTGAGTAGTAGTTTATGAAGTACTTTTTAAGCTGAACTGCGCTATTTTGAAAGGAAGAGAAGTATATGTTTTAAAATTGTCTCACTGAATTAAAGGTATGTAGTCCAGTTTATCTGTGACTGTTTATAGGATGAGTTTCTTATTCTTTCATTAATTTCAATGTGGTAAGTATAATACTGGTAGGTTTCTTTCCATTATAAAGTAACTTTAACATCAGTTCTTGCCTTTGCAAACATAGGAAGCTAGCAGCAGAATTCTGCTTATTTAAATTAATAAGTAACATGACTGTATAGGGAAAATAATACAAGCCCCATTCAAAAAGCTATCATCATATGAAAAGTCTAGTATATTGATAATTTTTCACTACCTTTTTAAACTATTTTATTTAATTTTATTTTAATAGATTAGAAGCAAGTTTGCATATTAACCCCCCCCAACCAATCAAACAAAAAAAACGAACAACCCATGTTGTTTGGTTTGTAGTTTGAGTTTTGTTTTGTTTTGTTTTTTTCTTTTGTGTGCAGAGAACAATTTTGCCTTTGGTGAATATGCATTTTTTTTTTCTAGTTTTTTAATGTATGGGCTTTCTTTGTGTGCACACAGACATATGCTTGAGGAACAAAAAATCTGCTAAAATAAGTAAAACTTATTTTTAAAATTGTTCAGCTATCATCTGTACATATCTGGTAAATTTTGTTATAAGTGATTAAAATGAACAACTTAAACTGGGAGTTAGGATCCGTAAATAAACATTTTATTCCCTTCCCAAATCATATAAAGATCTTTTGATAAGTATATTTGTGTAATTCAGTGCTGAAAACTAGATATGACACTTGATATTAGATCCAATCTGGTCTGAATTTACCTAATTCTATGTTACCTAGTAAGCTGACATGCTCTTTTTGATATAGATATCAAAAAGACAGGAGCTCCTTTGTTTTCTTCACATTTTAATTCTTTCTTTTTTCCTCCCAGAATATTTTATAAAAATTAGGAATATGTTTCATGCTGTAGGAAATTTACTAGGGAATCTGGAGGAGCCACACTTAGGCTGAGTCCCATGGCAAACATACAGCTGCAGAACCTGCCTTCACTCTGCTTTCATCCCGCTTACGGTTGTCAGAATTTTTCTTATTCTAGAGTACTTCAAAGTTATCATGAATGAAGCCCTAGACACCCTGAAATGAATGGCAAACTCTGACTGACACCAGTAAGATTGCAATTACACTCTACCAGAAACAAAGATCATTTCATCTACTGCTGAAAAGCAGCCCTCAATTCATTATTGTGTTGAGAGAACAAGTGAAAAATAAATTTCACAGTGGTGGGACTTTTTAAAGAACAAATAAGGAATAAGACATATTTATCAGCTGAAACTGCAGGAAGCGCTTTGGAAGTTTTCAGACATCAAGTTGAAGCTGTGCAGCTCATAAGGAAATACCAAACGCAGTCAAGAGTTATATTTGACATATCATCACAAGACTGGAATTACAGTGACACAGAAGGAAATGAAACAAGCTTTAAACACAATGTAGAGACAGGAAAATGATAAATACCATAGTAAAATATCCAAGTCCAACTTAATAGAAAAAAAAGTAGGGAGAAAGGACAGATTTCAATAGGATATTTAATTTTTAGGATATCAAAATACAATATATGAGACATATGACAGCAATAATAATTGCAGGGATTCACTAGTTATTAAAAATGAGCAAACCCACTATGCCTTTAAAGAGACAAGACAGTCGACAGCTAATGGCTTTAACATTGTTTCACAACACAGCAAGCCAACATGAAGAAAACAGCACATTGTTGCATATTACAGATAATCTTAGCACTTACCTTCTCATAATACTTGATTTCATATTCAGTAATGACTCCATTGGGATGTTCTGGTTCCTGCCAGGAAAGCTCCACACTCCTCTGCAGCACTCTCTCTTTCATTACTCCACTGACTTGCGAGGGAGCTGTTTGGACAAGATGTGTCAATAAATAAGAAGCATATTTTTTGGATGCCTAAAATCAAATGTCATTACTGATCCGCCCCATGCTGAGCCACTTTCATTAAGGTAAAAGAAAGCACCTTTTCACAGCTCACAATTCAAAGCTAATGAATATTCAAGCAGGACCCTATTACTGTTCATAAACTTTGAATGGAAATAAAATTAAAGTGCAAATAGCAAAAGTGGCATTGTTCAAGTTAGTGCAAAACTGAGATTGATGGGATAGGAGTAACAATTAAGCAAATTGATTCTGATTAAAACAGCAAAGTAGATTTTTAGAGTGATGTATAGTAAATTAAGAGTCTAAATATTTATTGCACGTTTCTGAAATGCACATAAAAAGAAAAATAATATTTTAGAAACAAAATCACACTGTAGACTGATTTCATATAATTGACTCCAATTCTCCTTAAAAAATTAGCTGTCACACTATCTCATTACAACATGACTCAGTGGTGAAAACAACTCTGTTGAGAGACTCAACCGACTCTTTTTCATTATGTCAAACCTTTCTTGGACATTCTCTGTTTAGAGCTGAAGTTCCTGTATTTGGTCTTGGCATTTTTTGAAAACGTGAGACTATTCAGACATAGATCTTATAAAATAAAGGGGACGCTGTCTTCCTCCACCTCATTCTACAGAGACATACATACAGGCCCACTTGCATGCATGCACACATACACACACAGTTTCTTAATAAACATCATCCACAAGCAGGCACCTTCTGAAATTTAAAAAAAAAAACAAACCAACAATCCATAAGCATTTTAGGGCTACTGACTCTCATTTAAAAATGCTTAAGAGATAATGTAATAAAATGTGAGGCACCAGAAAAGTAATTTGCTTTATCACCTTATCTCTTGTTTAATAACAAAAAAAAATTAAAAAAAAGGCAGATTTTCTTCTGTTGTGTAGTTCCAAACAAAGGAGGACAAACACTTCTTCTTAAACATACATACTCCCTGTATGAATGTAGCACAGATGTCCTGTAAAACCAAAGCTCTTTATAAAAAACAACTGTGGCATTGGAACCATGCAGAACTTGAACCTGTTCTTCTTCAATTAAATTGGAATAATTCAAGGGCGTAACACTGTTCATGCAAAAGATAAATAATGTGAGGACATGATCTTCACCCCACACCATTAAAATCAAAATGACATTTACAGGAACAGAAATTTGTTCATATTTGGAAAGGATAAAGAATCTAGTACTGATTTTATACTTGAATGTTTGTTTGAACAAAGATTCGGAAAATTTTAAGTATTCTTCTAGGTGTGAAACAGAACAACTTTATTTCAGAACTGTATATAAAGCTTTCACTATGTAAAATAATGTACAGTCTTCAGATAAAACACAATTCTTATCCCATGCAACAAGCAGGTCAACTTCACTTCCTCTACTTAAAGAAGGTAGAAATAAAACATCTAGAATGCACACTTCTGTAGCATTAAGGATACAAACATGAAGTAAAAATATCTAGAGCACAATCAAGATAATCATCCTCTAAAAAACTTAAAATTTTACTAACTTCTTATTTAAACTGTGAAGTTTCTAGCCTTTTTCATTACAACATATATATTCATGCAGGTTTTTAAATCAAATTTATTTGCATTTCATTAGAGGCTCCAAGAGTCCATGGAAATTAAGGATTGAAGCCATGCATGGTAATTTTTCTTATGAATTATTATGTTGTATATAACCAATATAATCAAAGTTTAAGACCCCTTAATGTGGGCTGCCTAACTGATAAAAACATATAATTGTATGATGTGAACACCACAGGTTAATACACCATTCCAAAGCCAGGATCACTTTCTTATGCTCTGCTTGCATTCTCTTTCTAAAAGCTTAGAGTATTTTCACTCTTTAATTAGTGAAAGATATTCTTTTTCGTAGCTAAGAGTCTGGAATGCAGCAAACTAATTTACCCTGTCCAGTTTTCTTTGCCGAGATTAACTAGTTGTCTTCTTTGTCTAAATGATTACCACAGCATCCTGGCTAAATTTCAGAGAGGTCATTACATTTCATATATAATGCTTTATCTCATCCAGATAAATGTTTTCAAATTGCTAATTTTACATTTTTAGATGTCCGAAATTGTTAATGTTCATACTTACCATGAAACAATTTTATATTACCTAGGTCACTGGAGTTTGTTCCTGACATTTGCTGCCTTTTGTTTTAGCTTATCAAATGTTTTCATTCCATTGGTCATAGCATTCATTTTTTTAAAGCAGTGAAGCAAAATGAACTTGCTTCCTCTAGTATTAGCTAACTCTGTGTATGTGGGGAAGGAACATCAATGAGGAGAAGAAGGAACAGGAAAGGGGGAAAATGTTAATCAGGGAAATAAAATATACTATGTTAGATTCCTACTTAACATCCGTACAAAGTACACCACAAACAGGCAAATTCCATTCTTAATGAATTCAAAACAAAGTCTCAGTGATATATCAAGACAATGCGGTGATTTATGAAAGACATCTTAAATAAATGCACTTTTAAATATATTTCCCTGTCAATTAATATTCTTTTAATTCAAGAATGGTCACATTAAAAGCTGATTTTGGCTTTGGGTTTTTTTAGTTGTGTTTTGGCTTCCCCCTCCTCCTCACTAAAACTAAAAAAGTGATACTTTTCACTGGGAGAACCACATGAGGAAGAAGAGAAAGTCCGACCCTGCAGACTGTATATATTAATAGCTTTGAAGACAATTATGTTATGTTTCATTCACATACCACATGATATTCCTAAAATCCAGTAAGTTACCTAAGCTTATTCTGTGTCTCCATGTTTGTTAGGAGAAGAAGGGACTCATCAAATCAATTGAAGCCAGAGTATCTTCCTCTTGCAAGGTAGACCAGCCTGTTGTTACTGCAAGGAAATCTCTATAAACCAGAGCAACCACATAAGCCAGTCTATTGACGTGAGAGGCTAGATGCATATGCTATCTTTATTCTGCCTTTTGGGTAGCATTTCTTGATCTGTGCTTAATGAGAGTGTACAGATCAGAAGCATTTTGTTCTTAATTCTAGTGTAATAATTTCCCCTGTATTCTCTCTGTTGCTTTCTTACAGGCTGTTTTGCATTCACGTTTTATTTGTTCTGGCTTCCTGACACCTCCTTTTAAACCTTTAGCCCACTTCTCATTGGCTATCCATGTTAATTAATTAACAACCCATTTATAGTTTTGAAACAACTATGCTTGAGCAATCTTGAAAATAAGTTAAGGAATACAATTCTCCCCTAAATACAAGATAAAATATGGTATTAAATCACCAAATCCCCCAAAAACTCTATAAAAAAGAATTAAAAATACCTTTTTCTTCCCCTTGATAGCTAAATCATCATCACCATGAACAATTATTTCAGGTACTTTTAGTTTTATTAATCTAGTTCTTACCACTCCATCTATACCAAAGCTGTTCATGATAAAGACACTTCTTATAGAATTTCTACACAACTAGTACCCAGTTGTGAATGACTTGAGCATGCATAATTCCTACCGTGTCATTTCAGGTTACAAAGAAGCATCACTTCTCTGAATCATTATTTCCATAATATATTACACTGGGGAATATGGGCTGTTCAAAACACTATTTGCTATAAACTTTCTGATATACCTCATCTCATTCTTTTTCTCCTTCCTGCTG